GCTAGCGTAGCTTAACTAAAGCATAACACTGAAGATGTTAAGACGGACCCTAGAAAGGTCCCGTGAGCACAAAGGCTTGGTCCTGACTTTACTGTCAGCTTTGGCTAAATTTACACATGCAAGTCTCCGCCCCCCTGTGAGAATGCCCACAGTTTTCTGCCCGAAAACAAGGAGCTGGTATCAGGCACACCCCGCAGCCCATGACACCTTGCTTAGCCACACCCCCAAGGGAATTCAGCAGTGATAGACATTAAGCCATAAGTGAAAACTTGACTTAGTTAAAGCCAAGAGAGCCGGTAAAACTCGTGCCAGCCACCGCGGTTATACGAGCGGCTCAAGCTGACAGACATCGGCGTAAAGAGTGGTTAGGAAACTCTTAAACTAAAGCCGAACGCCCTCAGAACTGTTATACGTACCCGAGAGCAAGAAGTCCCACTACGAAAGTGGCTTTATATTCCCGACCCCACGAAAGCTGCGAAACAAACTGGGATTAGATACCCCACTATGCCCAGCCCTAAACCTTGATAATCCCTTACATCCGCTATCCGCCCGGGTACTACGAGCACTAGCTTAAAACCCAAAGGACTTGGCGGTGCTTTAGATCCACCTAGAGGAGCCTGTTCTAGAACCGATAACCCCCGTTAAACCTCACCCTCTCTTGTCCTTCCCGTCTATATACCGCCGTCGTCAGCTTACCCTATGAAGGAATTACAGTAAGCAAAACTAACATAACTCAAAACGCCAGGTCGAGGTGTAGCATATGAGAGGGGAAGAAATGGGCTACATTCCCTACCATAGGAAATACGAACAATGTAATGAAATGTGCATTAGAAGGAGGATTTAGCAGTAAGCAGAAAATAGAGCGTTCCGCTGAAATCGGCCCTGAAGCGCGCACACACCGCCCGTCACTCTCCCCAAGCCAACAGCATTCTATAAGTAATACATTTTACCGGTAAAGGGGAGGCAAGTCGTAACATGGTAAGTGTACCGGAAGGTGCACTTGGAAAAATCAGAGTGTAGCTAAGCTAGAAAAGCATCTCCCTTACACTGAGAAGTCCCCCGTGCAAACCGGGTCACCCTGACGCCCAACAGCTAGCCCCCCCCCCATCAACCCCAAACCTACCCTATTTATATCCCCAAATATACCATCCTGCTGATAACAAACCATTTTCCCACCTAAGTACGGGCGACGAAAAAGGACCCAAGAGCGACAGAGAAAGTACCGCARGGGAAAGCTGAAAAAGTAATGAAACAATTCAGTAAAGCACTAAGAAAGCAGAGACAACCCCTCGTACCTTTTGCATCATGATTTAGCCAGAAAACCTCAAGCAAAAAGCATTATAGTTTGATACCCCGAAACTAAGCGAGCTACTCCAAGGCAGTCTAATTTATAGGACCACCCCGTCTCTGTGGCAAAAGAGTGGGAAGAACTTCGAGTAGAGGTGATAGACCTACCGAGCCTAGTTATAGCTGGTTGCCTGCGAACTGAGTAAAAGTTCAGCCCTTTAAGTTCTTCATTCCAGTTGGTTTAAGACCTTCCCACCGAACAAAAGAAATTAAAGGAGTTAGTCAAAGGGGGTACAGCCCCTTTGAAACAAAACACAACTTTCCAAGGAGGGTAAAAATCATAACAACTCAAAGGTTAAATGTTCTAGTGGGCCTAAAAGCAGCCACCTATTCAGAAAGCGTTAAAGCTCGAACATTACCTAATCAGCCTTCTAATAAGGATATTACAATTTCACCCCCCTAAACCTATCAGGCCGTTCCATAATACTATGGAAGTGTTTATGCTAATATGAGTAATAAGAGAAAATACCTCTCCCCGCACAAGTGTAATTCGGAACGAACCCTTCACCGACCATTAACGGCCCCAAAACAAAGAGGGCCCTAGGCAAAAAACAAACAACTAGAAAAACCCCTAGCTTCTCACCGTTAACCCCACACTGGTGTGCAGACCGGGAAAGACTAAAAGAAAAAGAAGGAACTCGGCAAACACAAGCCTCGCCTGTTTACCAAAAACATCGCCTCTTGAGCCCTAAATATAAGAGGTCCCGCCTGCCCTGTGACTATAAGTTTAACGGCCGCGGTATTTTGACCGTGCAAAGGTAGCGCAATCACTTGTCTTTTAAATGAAGACCTGTATGAATGGCATAACGAGGGCTTGACTGTCTCCTTTTTCCAGTCAATAAAATTGATCCCCCCGTGCAGAAGCGGGGATGCTAACATAAGACGAGAAGACCCTATGGAGCTTTAGACACCAGAACAGACCATGTTAAACACCCCTTAAATAAAGGCTAAAACTAATTGGCCCCTGTTCTAATGTCTTTGGTTGGGGCGACCGCGGGGAAACAAAAAACCCCCATGTGGACCGGGGACACGCCACCCCTACAACCCAGAGTTACGACTCCAAGTAACAGAACTTCTGACCAATCAGATCCGGCACATAGCCGATCAACGGACCGAGTTACCCTAGGGATAACAGCGCAATCCTCTTTTAGAGCCCATATCGACAAGAGGGTTTACGACCTCGATGTTGGATCAGGACATCCTAATGGTGCAGCCGCTATTAAGGGTTCGTTTGTTCAACGATTAAAGTCCTACGTGATCTGAGTTCAGACCGGAGTAATCCAGGTCAGTTTCTATCTATGTCACGATCTTTTCCAGTACGAAAGGACCGAAAAGAAGAGGCCCCTGTTCCCAATATGCCTCCCCCTTATCTATTGAAACCAACTAAAATAGATAAAAGGGCGTGCCCCCTAGCCATAGAAAATGGCTTGTTAAAGTGGCAGAGCCCGGACATTGCAAAAGACCTAAGCCCTTTCCACGGAGGTTCAAACCCTCCCTTTAACTATGCTTTCAACACTAGTTACCTCCATCCTCAACCCCCTAATCCTAATCATCTTTGTTCTTCTAGCCGTTGCTCTTCTTACCCTCGTCGAACGAAAGGTCCTCGGCTATATACAACTACGAAAAGGTCCAAACATTGTAGGCCCCTACGGCCTCCTCCAACCAGTTGCAGACGGCCTAAAACTTTTTTTAAAAGAGCCCATTCGGCCCTCCACCTCCTCCCCCATCCTTTTTCTTCTAACCCCTATACTAGCCCTCACCCTGGCACTTACCCTGTGGACTCCCATGCCCCTTCCCTTCCCTATAGCAGACCTCAACCTTGGCATCCTTTTTCTCCTAGCCCTCTCTAGCCTCACAGTCTATTCTATCCTCGGCTCAGGATGAGCCTCCAATTCAAAATACGCCTTAATCGGAGCCCTCCGAGCCGTCGCACAGACCATCTCCTACGAAGTCAGCCTAGGACTAATTCTTCTAAATGCTATTATTTTTACTGGAGGCTTTACCCTACAAACATTTAGCGTAGCCCAAGAAAGTGTATGACTAATTCTCCCCGCCTGACCGCTAGCCGCTATATGATACATCTCCACCCTTGCAGAAACAAACCGAGCCCCTTTTGATCTCACAGAAGGTGAGTCCGAACTCGTCTCTGGCTTTAACGTAGAATATGCAGGAGGTCCTTTCGCTCTCTTTTTCCTCGCTGAGTACGCCAACATTCTCCTGATAAATACCCTCTCTGCAACCCTATTCCTAGGCGCCTCCCTCTTACACATAACCCCTGAAATCACAACAACAAACCTTATAATAAAAGCCACCCTTCTCTCCGTACTCTTCCTATGAGTTCGTGCCTCCTACCCCCGATTTCGTTATGATCAACTCATGCACCTAATCTGAAAAAATTTCTTACCCCTAACCCTTGCCCTGGTGATTTGACACCTCTCCCTTCCAATTGCACTGACAGGATTGCCCCCGCAGCTATAGACGGGAGCTGTGCCTGAAATAAAGGACCACTTTGATAGAGTGAATCATGAGGGTTAAATTCCCTCCAACTCCTTAGAAAGAAGGGGCTCGAACCCTACCTGAAGAGATCAAAACTCTCAGTGCTTCCACTACACCACTTCCTAGTAAAGTCAGCTAAATAAGCTTTTGGGCCCATACCCCAAACATGTTGGTTAAACTCCTTCCTTCACTAATGAACCCTTACATCTTAGCCATTCTTCTTTTTGGCTTAGGCCTTGGCACCACTATTACATTTGCTAGCTCCCACTGACTTCTCGCCTGAATAGGACTTGAAATAAATACACTAGCCATTATACCCCTAATAGCCCAACACCACCACCCCCGCGCAATCGAAGCTACGACTAAATATTTTTTAACTCAGGCTGCTGCTGCAGCCACCCTCCTATTTGCAAGCGTCACTAACGCTTGACTAACAGGCCAATGAGAAATTCAACAAATTACGCACCCCCTTCCGAGCACTATAATTACCCTTGCTCTGGCCCTAAAAATTGGCCTAGCCCCTCTTCATGCTTGACTCCCCGAAGTTTTGCAGGGCCTAGATCTCACCACAGGCTTGATCCTTTCAACCTGACAAAAACTTGCCCCCTTTGCCCTAATTCTTCAAATCCAACCCTCAAGCTCAACACTCCTTATTATTTTAGGCCTTACTTCCGCCCTTATTGGAGGCTGAGGCGGATTAAACCAAACACAGCTCCGTAAAATTCTTGCATACTCATCAATCGCTCATCTAGGCTGAATAATCCTTGTTCTACAATTTTCCCCTTCCCTTACACTCCTCACCCTTCTAACCTACTTCATTATAACATTCTCAACATTCCTCGTATTTAAACTCAACAAAGCTACAAACATTAATACCCTTGCTACATCCTGAACAAAAGCCCCTACCCTGACTGCTCTTACACCCCTCATTCTCCTCTCACTGGGGGGCCTCCCCCCTCTTACGGGCTTTATACCAAAGTGACTTATCCTCCAAGAACTAACTAAACAAGGGCTCGCCCCCACCGCAACCCTCGCAGCCCTTTCAGCCCTTCTTAGCCTATACTTTTATCTCCGCCTCTCTTACGCAATATCCCTTACTATTTCCCCTAATAACCTCACAGGCACAACCCCCTGACGTTTTTCTTCCACTCAACTAACGTACCCCCTCGCCACTTCAACTGCAATAACAATTTGCCTCCTCCCTCTCACCCCTGCCATCTCGGCCTTATTAAACCCCTAAGGGGCTTAGGATAGCACCCAGACCAAGAGCCTTCAAAGCCCTAAGCGGGAGTGAAAATCTCCCAGCCCCTGCTAAAACTTGCGGGATACTAACCCACATCTTCTGTATGCAAAACAGACACTTTAATTAAGCTAAAGCTTTACTAGACAGGAAGGCCTCGATCCTACAAACTCTTAGTTAACAGCTAAGCGCTTAAACCAACAAGCATCTGTCTAACCTTTCCCCCGCCCGCCTCTAAAAGGGCGGGGGAAAGCCCCGGCAGGGTCTAACCTACTACTTCGGATTTGCAATCCGGCATGTATTACACCTCAAGGCTTGATAAGAAGAGGACTTGAACCTCTGTGCATGGGACTACAATCCACCGCTTGACGCTCAGCCATCCTACCTGTGGCAATCACACGTTGATTCTTCTCAACTAATCACAAAGACATCGGCACCCTTTATCTAGTATTTGGTGCTTGGGCCGGAATAGTAGGAACCGCACTTAGCCTCCTAATCCGGGCAGAATTAAGCCAGCCCGGCGCTCTCCTCGGAGACGACCAGATTTATAATGTAATTGTTACAGCACATGCTTTTGTAATAATTTTCTTTATAGTAATGCCAATTATAATTGGAGGCTTTGGGAACTGACTAGTTCCCCTTATGATTGGTGCACCAGACATAGCCTTTCCTCGAATAAATAACATGAGCTTCTGACTCCTTCCCCCCTCATTTCTACTTCTCCTTGCCTCCTCTGGAGTTGAAGCAGGGGCCGGTACAGGTTGAACTGTATACCCTCCCCTTTCAGGCAATCTTGCCCACGCAGGACCTTCTGTTGACTTAACTATCTTCTCCCTTCACCTGGCCGGGGTGTCCTCTATTCTTGGTGCAATTAATTTTATTACAACAATTATTAATATGAAACCCCCTGCCATTTCTCAATATCAAACACCTCTCTTTGTGTGGTCTGTCTTAATTACTGCCGTATTACTTCTTCTATCCCTTCCCGTCCTTGCCGCCGGCATCACAATACTTCTTACGGACCGAAACCTCAACACAACCTTCTTTGACCCTGCCGGAGGCGGAGACCCTATCCTTTATCAACATCTGTTCTGATTCTTTGGTCACCCAGAAGTTTATATTCTAATTCTTCCCGGATTTGGTATAATCTCACATATTGTTGCGTATTATGCAGGCAAAAAAGAACCCTTCGGATATATGGGTATGGTCTGAGCCATAATGGCCATCGGCCTCCTAGGGTTCATTGTGTGAGCCCACCACATATTTACTGTAGGAATGGACGTAGACACACGAGCTTACTTTACTTCCGCCACAATAATTATTGCTATCCCAACCGGAGTAAAAGTCTTCAGCTGACTAGCCACTCTGCACGGCGGTTCAATTAAATGAGAAACCCCCCTCTTATGAGCACTAGGCTTCATTTTCCTGTTTACGGTAGGGGGCCTGACCGGAATCGTCCTAGCTAACTCATCCCTAGACATTATGCTTCACGACACATACTATGTTGTTGCCCATTTCCATTATGTCCTCTCAATAGGAGCCGTATTCGCCATCGTTGCTGGCTTCGTCCACTGATTCCCCCTATTCTCAGGGTACACACTGCACGACACCTGAACTAAAATTCACTTTGGGGTTATATTTGCTGGCGTCAACCTTACTTTCTTCCCACAGCACTTCCTGGGCCTAGCTGGCATACCTCGCCGATACTCCGACTACCCCGACGCCTACGCTCTTTGAAACTCGGTCTCTTCAATTGGCTCAATAATCTCCCTGGTTGCAGTAATTATGTTTCTGTTTATTATTTGAGAAGCATTCGCCGCTAAACGGGAAGTATTGTCAGTGGAACTCACAGCAACAAACGTAGAATGACTTCACGGCTGCCCTCCTCCTTACCACACCTTCGAAGAACCAGCCTTTGTTCAAGTTCAACAGGCTTGATTAGACTACAAAAAACCTGCTGCCACCCCCTCAAACCCTCACTAGCGAGAAAGGGAGGAATTGAACCCCCATGAACTGGTTTCAAGCCAGTCACATAACCACTCTGTCACTTTCTTCATAAGACACTAGTAAAGTTGATCATTACATTGCCTTGTCAAGGCAAAATTGCGGGTTTAAACCCCGCGTGTCTTGCAATAATGGCACATCCCTCTCAACTAGGTTTTCAAGATGCAGCTTCCCCTGTGATAGAAGAACTTCTTCACTTCCACGACCACGCCTTAATAATTGTTTTCCTAATTAGTACCCTCGTGCTTTACATTATTGTGGCCATAGTAACAACCAAACTGACTAACAAATTTATCCTTGACTCTCAAGAAATCGAAATCATTTGAACCCTCCTCCCAGCTATTATTCTAATTCTTATTGCCCTCCCCTCCTTACGCATTCTCTACCTTATAGATGAGATCAATGACCCACATCTTACAATTAAAGCTATAGGTCACCAATGATACTGAAGCTACGAGTATACTGATTATGAGGACCTCGGCTTCGACTCGTATATAATCCCCACACAAGACCTGGCCCCCGGCCAATTTCGTCTTCTGGAAGCAGACCACCGAATAGTGGTTCCAGTTGAATCCCCCATTCGAATCCTAATTTCTGCTGAAGACGTGCTTCACTCCTGAGCCGTCCCAAGTCTTGGAGTAAAAATAGACGCCGTCCCAGGCCGCCTAAACCAAACAGCATTCATCGCATCCCGCCCCGGGGTCTTTTATGGCCAATGCTCTGAAATTTGTGGTGCTAACCACAGTTTTATACCTATTGTAGTAGAGGCCGTTCCATTAGAACACTTTGAAAACTGATCATCCTTAATACTTGAAGACGCTTCGCTAAGAAGCTAAATAGGGAATAGCGTTAGCCTTTTAAGCTAAAGACTGGTGACCCCCGCCCACCCCTAGCGAAATGCCACAACTTAACCCCGCGCCTTGATTTGCTATTCTAGTCTTCTCCTGATTAGTCTTTCTAACAGTCATTCCCCCAAAAGTCCTAGCACACACTTTCCCAAACGACCCCACTCTTCAAAGCACAGAAAAACCCAAAACAGAGCCCTGAAGCTGACCATGACATTAAGCTTTTTTGACCAATTTATGAGCCCCACATACCTGGGAATCCCCCTAATTGCTATCGCGCTCAGCTTGCCCTGAATTCTCTACCCTAAGCCCACCCCCCGTTGACTAAACAATCGCCTCATTACACTCCAGGGATGATTTATTAACCGTTTTACCCAACAAATCTTTCAACCCCTAAGCTTAGGGGGCCATAAATGAGCCGCCCTTCTCGCCTCCCTCATACTCTTTCTCATTACCTTAAACATACTTGGACTTCTCCCCTACACCTTTACCCCTACAACACAACTCTCCCTTAACATAGCCTTTGCCGTCCCCCTCTGACTTGCAACAGTTATTATTGGCATGCGAAACCAACCCACCCATGCCCTAGGACACTTATTACCAGAAGGTACCCCCACCCTCCTAATTCCTGTCCTAATTATTATCGAGACAATTAGCCTGTTTATCCGCCCCCTTGCACTTGGGGTTCGGTTGACCGCAAACCTCACGGCTGGCCACCTTTTAATTCAACTCATTGCCACCGCTGCTTTCGTCCTACTTCCCCTTATACCTACAGTAGCAATTCTTACCGCAGTATTGCTATTTCTCCTAACCCTTCTAGAAGTGGCAGTAGCCATGATTCAAGCCTATGTCTTTGTTCTTCTCTTAAGCCTTTATCTACAAGAAAACGTTTAATGGCCCATCAAGTACACGCATATCACATAGTTGACCCCAGCCCATGACCCCTAACAGGCGCAGTAGGCGCCCTTCTCCTGACATCCGGTTTAGCAATCTGAATGCACTTCCATGATATGACCCTATTGGCCCTAGGCCTAATTCTGCTCCTCCTAACTATATACCAATGGTGACGAGATATCATCCGAGAAGGGACATTCCAAGGACACCACACCCCTCCTGTCCAAAAAGGCCTCCGGTACGGAATAATCCTCTTTATTACCTCAGAAGTTTTCTTCTTCCTAGGCTTCTTCTGGGCCTTCTATCACGCCAGCCTTGCCCCCACCCCTGAACTAGGAGGCTGCTGACCCCCCACAGGAATTACCCCTTTAGACCCCTTCGAAGTGCCACTACTTAATACAGCCGTCCTCCTAGCCTCAGGAGTAACAGTTACCTGAGCACACCACAGCATCATAGAAGGACATCGAAAAGAGGCAATCCAGTCCCTCGCCCTAACCATTCTCCTAGGCTTCTATTTCACCTTCCTTCAAGCCATAGAATACTACGAAGCCCCCTTTACAATTGCAGACGGAGTATATGGCTCCACCTTCTTCGTAGCAACTGGTTTCCATGGACTTCACGTAATCATTGGCTCTACCTTCCTGGCCATCTGCCTTCTACGACAAGTCCTATATCATTTTACATCCGACCACCACTTTGGCTTTGAAGCAGCTGCCTGATACTGACATTTCGTAGACGTTGTTTGACTATTCCTATACATCTCAATTTACTGATGAGGCTCATATCTTTCTAGTATCAAAGCTAGTACACGTGACTTCCAATCACTTAGTCTTGGTTAAACCCCAAGGAAAGATAATGAATTTAATCACAACAATACTTATTATTTCTATTGTCCTCTCTACTATTCTCGCTATTGTTTCCTTTTGGCTCCCCCAAATAACCCCTGATCATGAAAAACTTTCCCCCTATGAATGTGGCTTTGACCCCCTAGGGTCTGCGCGCCTACCCTTCTCCCTCCGCTTCTTCCTCGTCGCAATCCTCTTCCTCCTCTTTGACTTAGAAATCGCACTACTCCTCCCCCTTCCCTGAGGGGACCAACTCTCCTCCCCCCTCATAACATTCACCTGGGCCTTTACTGTTCTTGTCTTATTAACCCTCGGCCTAATTTATGAATGAATTCAAGGCGGCCTAGAATGAGCTGAATAGGCTGTTAGTTTAAGAAAAACCCTTGATTTCGGCTCAAGAACTTGTGGTTAAAGTCCATAACCGCCTAATGACTCCTACACACTTCGCCTTTTCCTCAACCTTTCTTCTCGGCCTAGCAGGCCTAGCATTCCACCGAACTCACCTTCTTTCCGCCCTCCTATGTTTAGAAGGAATAATACTCTCACTCTTCATTGCCCTCTCCATATGAACCCTTCAGCTTAACTCTGCTAGCTTTTCAGCCTCCCCCATACTTCTCCTGGCTTTTTCAGCCTGTGAAGCAGGGGCCGGTCTCGCACTACTCGTCGCTACTGCCCGCACCCACGGGACAGACCGACTCCAAAGCCTCAATCTTCTGCAATGCTAAAAATTCTCCTCCCTACTATTATGCTTATCCCCACTATTTGAAGCATCCCAGCCAAACACCTCTGATCCGCCACCCTTTCTTACAGTTTAGCTATTTCCTTAATTAGCTTAACCTGGCTAAAATCGTCCGCAGAATCAGGCTGGTCCTTCCTTAGCCCTTACATGGCAACTGACCCCCTCTCCACCCCCCTCCTCACACTAACCTGCTGACTTCTCCCTTTAATAATTCTTGCAAGTCAAAACCACACAGCATCTGAACCTTTCTCCCGCCAACGAACCTACATCACTCTCCTTACATCCCTACAAATTTTTCTCATTATAGCCTTCAGTGCAACCGAAGTAATTATGTTTTATATTATATTTGAAGCCACCCTCATTCCAACCCTAGTAATTATTACTCGCTGGGGAAATCAAACAGAACGACTAAACGCGGGCACTTACTTTCTATTTTATACGCTAGCAGGATCCCTACCACTACTCGTCGCCCTTTTACTTCTCCAAAACAATACCGGGACCCTATCCCTCCTGACACTACAATATGCCCCTTCCATACAACTTTTCTCTTTCGCTGACAAGCTATGATGGGCCGGGTGCTTGCTCGCCTTTCTAGTAAAAATGCCCCTTTATGGGGCCCATCTTTGACTTCCCAAAGCACACGTTGAAGCCCCAATCGCCGGCTCCATAGTACTAGCCGCAGTTTTACTAAAACTGGGGGGTTACGGAATAATACGCATAATGATTATACTAGAGCCCCTCACCAAGGAACTCAGCTATCCCTTTATTATTTTAGCCCTCTGAGGAGTGATTATAACAGGCTCCATCTGCCTACGCCAAACAGACTTAAAGTCACTAATTGCTTACTCCTCAGTAAGCCACATAGGTCTCGTAGCAGCAGGAATTCTAATCCAAACCCCCTGAGGCTTCACAGGCGCCCTCATTCTAATAATCGCACACGGCCTGACTTCCTCCGCCCTCTTCTGTCTAGCCAATACAAATTACGAACGCACACACAGCCGGACTATAGTTTTAGCCCGAGGACTTCAAATGGTCTTGCCCCTAATGACCGCGTGATGATTCATTGCCGGCCTTGCAAACCTCGCCCTTCCCCCTCTTCCAAATTTAATAGGGGAACTAATAATTATTACCTCCTTATTCCACTGATCTTGATGAACAATTGCACTTACCGGAGCCGGAACCCTTATTACTGCAAGCTACTCCTTGTACATGTTCCTTATAACACAACGAGGTCCCCTACCAGCACATATTATTTCCCTCGACCCAACACATTCCCGAGAACACCTACTCCTAACCCTCCACCTCCTTCCCCTAATTCTTCTAATCTCCAAGCCCGAATTAATCTGAGGCTGGGCTGCCTGTAGATATAGTTTAACAAAGACATTAGATTGTGATTCTAAAAACAGAGGTTAAAACCCTCTTATCCACCGAGAGAGGTTGAAAACAACAAAGACTGCTAATTTTTGCCCCTTGGGTTAAACTCCTAAGCTCACTCGCCCCGCTTCTAAAGGATAACAGCTCATCCGTTGGTCTTAGGAACCAAAAACTCTTGGTGCAAATCCAAGTAGCAGCTATGCACCTCACCCCCATCATAATAGCCACCAGCCTAGTTCTCATTTTCTTACTTCTTACATTTCCAGTCCTCTCCTCCTTTTCTCCGCGTTCTCTTCCCCCAAACTGAGCCCTGGCCCAAGTTAAAACAGCAGTAAAATGAGCCTTTTTTACTAGCATTCTTCCTCTCTGCCTTTTTCTCAATGAGGGCGCAGAAACAATTATTACCAGCTGCGCTTGAATAAATACCCACACTTTTGACATCAACATCAGTCTTAAGTTTGATATTTATTCAGTCATCTTCACCCCCGTCGCCCTATATGTCACGTGATCAATCCTAGAATTTGCCTCCTGATACATACACGCCGACCCATACATAAACCGATTCTTTAAGTACTTATTAATTTTCCTCATTGCCATGATTATTCTTGTAACCGCAAACAATATGTTCCAGCTATTTATCGGCTGAGAAGGGGTCGGAATTATATCTTTTCTTCTTATTGGCTGATGATATGGCCGCACAGACGCAAACACCGCTGCCCTTCAGGCAGTAATCTACAACCGAGTTGGGGATATTGGTCTAATTTTTGCTATAGCTTGAATTGCGACCTCCCTTAACTCTTGAGAAATACAACAAATATTTACATTATCCAAAGACTTTGACCTAACTTATCCCCTTATTGGCCTTATTATTGCTGCTACCGGCAAGTCCGCCCAATTCGGCCTCCATCCATGGCTTCCTTCTGCCATAGAAGGTCCTACACCGGTCTCTGCCCTACTGCACTCAAGCACCATAGTCGTAGCAGGTATTTTTCTCCTAATTCGTATAAGCCCAATGCTAGAAAACAACCAAACTGCCCTCACTATTTGCCTTTGCCTAGGAGCCCTCACCACCCTATTTACCGCAACCTGCGCCCTCACCCAGAATGACATTAAAAAAATTGTTGCTTTCTCAACATCAAGTCAACTCGGCCTAATAATAGTTACAATTGGACTCAACCAACCCCAACTTGCCTTCCTTCACATCTGCACCCACGCATTCTTTAAGGCTATACTCTTCCTCTGCTCCGGGTCTATTATCCACAGCCTAAACGACGAACAAGACATCCGAAAAATGGGGGGCATGCACCACCTAACCCCTTTTACATCTTCCTGTTTAACCATCGGAAGTCTAGCTCTCACAGGGACCCCCTTCTTAGCAGGCTTCTTTTCAAAAGATGCCATCATTGAAGCCCTAAACACATCTTACCTAAACGCCTGAGCCCTCTTCCTCACCCTCCTAGCCACTTCCTTCACCGCTATCTATAGCCTCCGAGTTGTTTTCTTCGTATCAATAGGACATCCCCGCTTCAACCCGCTCTCCCCTATTAATGAAAATAACTCAACAGTTATTAACCCTATCAAACGTCTTGCCTGAGGAAGTGTAATCGCCGGCCTCCTAATCACCTCTAACATTACCCCTCTAAAAACACCAGTTATGTCCATACCCTTTCTTCTCAAAGCTGCCGCCCTCGTAGTAACCATTATTGGCCTTCTTATCGCACTAGAACTTGCCTCCCTTACCAACAAACAATATAACCCAACTCCAAAACTCGCCCCCCATCATTTTTCTAACATACTAGGATTTTTTCCAATAATCATCCACCGCCTAACCCCCAAACTAAACCTAACTCTAGGACAAGCCATCGCCTCCCAAACGGTTGACCAAACATGGCTAGAAAAAATTGGCCCAAAAGCAACTGCCTCCCTCAGCCTCCCTTTAATTACAACAACCAATAACATTCAACAAGGCATAATCAAAACCTATCTCTCCCTCTTCCTCTTCACCTTCGGCCTAGCTCTTCTACTATTACTTTATTAAACAGCTCGAAGAGCCCCCCGACTTAAGCCCCGTGTTAACTCCAACACCACAAGCAACGTTAACAACAACACTCAAGCCCCTATTACCAAAACGCCCCCGCCAGCCGAATACATCAAAGCTACCCCTCCAATATCCCCCCGAAAAACCGAAAATTCAGCAAATTCGTCGGCTGAAACTCAAGCCCCCTCATATCACCCCCCTCAAAATAAACCCGCTGCCACACACACCCCTAGTACATAAGCCATTATAACCCCTAGAACAGGCCAACTCCCTCAGCCCTCCGGATAAGGCTCAGCAGCTAGCGCTGCCGAATATGCAAACACTACCAACATCCCCCCCAAATAGATCAAGAATAAAATTAAAGATAAGAAAGATCCTCCATGCCCCACCAACACCCCACACCCCATGCCTGCTACTGCAACCAGCCCCAACGCCGCAAAATACGGCGAGGGGTTAGAAGCAACCGCTGCAAGCCCCAACACCAACCCTAATAAGAAGATAAACATGATGTAAACCATAGTTTCTGCCAGGACTTTAACCAGGACCAATGACTTGAAAAACCACCGTTGTTATTCAACTACAAAAACAATAATGGCCAACCTCCGAAAAACCCACCCCCTCCTAAAAATTGCAAACGACGCACTAGTTGACCTCCCAGCCCCTTCAAACATCTCCGTTTGATGAAACTTTGGGTCCCTACTAGGACTCTGTCTTGCCGCCCAGATTCTGACAGGCCTCTTTCTAGCCATACACTACACCTCCGACATCGCCACCGCCTTCTCCTCCGTTGCCCACATCTGCCGTGACGTCAACTACGGCTGACTCATCCGAAATATGCACGCTAACGGCGCATCTTTCTTCTTCATTTGTATTTACCTCCACATTGGCCGAGGCTTATACTATGGCTCCTACTTATATAAAGAAACCTGAAATATTGGAGTAATCCTCCTCCTTTTAACTATAATAACAGCTTTCGTAGGCTACGTCCTCCCCTGAGGGCAAATATCATTCTGAGGCGCCACTGTCATTACAAATCTTCTTTCCGCAGTCCCTTACATCGGCAATTCTTTAGTCCAATGAATTTGAGGCGGATTCTCTGTAGACAATGCCACCCTCACTCGTTTTTTTGCCTTTCACTTCCTCCTTCCCTTCATTATTGCAGCTGCAACCATAGTGCACCTTATTTTCTTACACGAAACCGGATCTAACAACCCCACAGGCCTCAACTCAGACTCCGACAAAATCTCTTTTCATCCTTACTTTTCCTACAAAGACCTGCTAGGTTTTGCAGTCCTTTTAATTACCCTCATCTCCCTAGCCCTTTTCTCCCCTAACCTGCTCGGAGACCCCGACAACTTTACTCCTGCAAACCCCCTAGTCACCCCACCCCACATCAAGCCTGAATGATACTTCCTATTTGCTTATGCCATCCTCCGCTCGATCCCCAATAAACTTGGGGGAGTCCTCGCCCTTCTGTTTTCAATCCTTGTCTTAATAATTGTACCCATTCTCCACACCTCTAAACAACGAGGCTTAACCTTCCGCCCTATTACACAATTTCTCTTCTGACTTCTAGTTGCAGATGTCGCCATCCTCACCTGAATCGGGGGTATGCCCGTTGAACACCCCTTCGTTATTATCGGACAAGTTGCATCTTTCCTCTACTTCTTCCTTTTTCTCGTCCTCACCCCCCTCACCGGCTGACTAGAAAACAAAATCCTTGAATGACACTGCATTAGTAGCTCAGCGCCAGAGCGCCGGTCTTGTAAACCGAACGTCGAAGGTTAAAGTCCTTCCTACTGCTTCAAAGAAAGGGGATTTTAACCCCTACCCCTAGCTCCCAAAGCTAAGATCCTAACTTAGACTATTCCTTGCCGAGCTCTGCCCTCAATGCAAACGTAGTGCATATATGTATTATCACCATTATTCTATATCAAACATATCCTATATATAAACACATAAAATTTAAAAAGAACATAGAACTGTCCCCCACATATTTGCTATGTACATTATAACTAAGGGGTACATAAACCATAACTGGTGTATTTTAATACAATTTATTTAACCACTAAACGATAGTTTAAGACCGATCACAACTCTCACATAGTCAAGATATACCAAGTACCCACCATCCTATTAATTCACAAATAGTTAATGTAGTAAGAGCCCACCATCAGTTGATTCCTAAATGTTAACGGTTATTGAAGGTGAGGGACAATTATTTGTGAGGGTTTCACTTAGTGAATTATTCCTGGCATCTGGTTCCTACTTCAGGTTCAATGATTGTTATAATTCCCCATACTTTCATTGACGCTTGCATAAGTTAATGGTGGTAATACATACTCCTCGTTACCCACCAAGCCGGGCGTTCTTTCCAGCGTGTGGGGGGTTCTCTTTTTTTTTTTCCTTTCATTTGACATCTCAGAGTGCATACAGAAATGACAGACAAGGTTGAACATTTTCCTTGCCTGATGGAAATAGTATGAGTGATAATGGAATATAATAGAAGAATTGCATAACTGATATCATGAGCATAAAGTTTAATCAGATATTTAATTTTCTCCTAACTTTCCTATATCCCCCCCGGTTTCTGCGCGTAAAACCCCCCCYTACCCCCCCCAAACTCCTAAGATCTCTAAGACTCCTGTAAACCCCCCGGAAACAGGAAAAGCTCTAGAAGTGATTTTCGCACTTAATATGTACAGACATGTTTATTATATGTATATTGTTTGATGTGTATATTACACTATTGCAATATTGCACAT